TACATATAGCTCTTGTAAAGCCTTTCCATGTGCCTTCTACTTTTGCTGCATTTTCTTCTTCGGAAGGTAACTCTACTTCTACTCTTGTTCCATCTACTTCTACTATGAATACTCAGCCTACTTCTGATTCGGAAACCTCTAAACCTGTTGTAATTGCTGTAAATTCCCAGTCTGATTTTCTCTCCCCTGATGAGGATGATCCTCCACCGVAAATCCCAGCAAGCATTCGCCTCCTATTAGATCGATTTCCGGAAGTGTTGGCTGAACCTCGCGGAGTTCCCGAGCGTCCAGTCAAGCACAAAATCGAGATAATAGAAGGGAGCGTTCCTCCAAAGGGTTGCGTCTACCGTATGGGGCAAGGTGAGTTGGAGGAGCTGCGGAGACAAATTGATGACATGATTGATCGTGGATGGATTAGGCCTAGCGAGTCTGAGTTCGGCGCCCCTGTTTTGTTTGTGCCGAAGAAAGGAGGCAAACTCCGGATGTGCATTGATTATCGTGGTTTGAACCGAATCACAAGGAAGAATGCCTACCCTTTGCCTCGTATAGATGATCTGCTGGATGCGGCCGGTGGATGCAAAGTCTTCTCCAAGATCGACCTCAAGTCTGGCTACCACCAGATTGAAGTTGATCCGAGCGACCAGCACAAAACTGCGTTCAAGACACGYGACGGCCTGTACGAATTCATCGTTATGCCCTTCGGCCTTACGAACGCACCAGCCACATTTCAGTCCCTCATGGACAAGGTACTCCGCCACCAACTTAACAGGTTTGTGGTTGTGTATCTTGTTGACATTCTGATGTTTAGCAAGTCCATGGAGGAGCACGTCAAGCATCTCAAGGAGGTCTTGCAAGTCCTCAAAGATGCTCAACTGCACCTCAACTTGGAGAAATCTGAGTTTGGCAGGGACAGCGTCATCTACCTTGGACACCGGTTGTCTGCAAGCGGTCTTGAGCCGGAGGCAGCCAAGGTTGAGGTCATCCGCAACTGGCCTCAACCGGCAAATGTACGCGAGCTGCGTTCTTTTCTTGGTTTAGCCTCTTATTATCGGAAGTTTGTGCCTAAATTTTCTGTCATTGCTCACCCACTTTCCCGCCTGACGAGTAAGAATGTTGCTTATGTGTGGTGTGAAAAGTGTGAGACTGGTCTTCGTATCGGACATCTGGTAGCATCCGGATACTGGTAAATGTCGTATATGTTCTCTGGGGTCACAATTGCAGGACAATGGTTGTTTGTTCGGAATTGGTTCAGTTCGTTGTGCTCGTCTGTGCCCTTTTTTGATGATTTGTTTGATTCGGAATTTGTTATGGAGGGTGCAGTGGGGTGGTCAGGATAGAAAGGTAGGATGGGTTATCGGTGGTATCAACTGTTGTACATTCGTTGTTTATCGTGCATTGCTCATGATGACTCAAGTCATTAAGAATCTGTTCCACGGCAGCCAAATGCGGGCTACCTGTCACAGCACATCCCTGGTGCTGCTTTCTTTTTTTTTCAGTGATTGCTGGATCACAATTTTCATTGGTTTCTACAGTCATTTGCAGCTGGGTAAAAGGGAGAGGTCTGAGTCTGGGCAAGGCGTGAGACATCTGCAAGTCATGTGCATTGGCCTGTTGAAGCCTGAGAGCTTCTCTATACGGCTGTGCACGGTTTCTGCCAAGGTTGCGTGAGGGAGGAAGAGATGCTTCTCTATTTTGTGGTATTCTCTCTTCTCCATCATGCATTGCGGACAGTAACGCCCAACCTGGAGCATGCAGAAAAGTCAATGGGAACGTAGGGGATGTCAACAAAAGTACAATGGATGTGTGAATCTGAAGCTGGGAAGAGTCTGCTGCAAATTAATGTCATTGACTCATTGGTTAAATAAATAGTTGTGGAGTTTCCCAGTGAAAAAGCATTCTGCCAGAAAATTTCAATAATAATAATAATAATAATAATAAATATTATATAATAATAATACTAATAATAATAATAGTTCTGCTCCTTGAGATACACTTACATGTTTAATCTGGTTAGTCTGGTAAAACATGTTTGTTTTCGAAAGCAATGAATAAGCGAAGATTTCCCTGCTGAGTCGCATCAAAATCCAGAGCACAAGTAAAAATATTTCCTGTTGTCATGTCATTATTTCAGTCTGTTCTATTTTTGTTATTCAAAATTGCAGTGGACAGCAAAAGAACAGGTCTGCACCACGACAAAAATTGACTGCTCATCAGCGAATTGATCACACCGTGAGATTGGACTCAACAGGGAATACGACTGGACAGCAAAGTCGATTCCGCCGAACTGGTCTGCAGAGCCCGCGAATTGGACTGCACAGCAACACAAAATGGACTGCACGCGTGCGCGCAACAGAGAGAGAGAGAGAGAGAGAGAGAGAGAGAGAGAGAGCTGTCTCTTATACACATCTAGATGTGTATAAGAGACAGCCCCTGGGCCGTTCGGCCCATGGCCAGTAGAGCAACGAATGAACA